TGATTTATGTCAAAAATATGACCTCATATTTTATTCTGGCTTTGCAAAAGACCTTAATTGCTACGCGATTTTGGTCTTTTAACAATGAACAAAATAAGAATTATTTCGGTCGTATATTACGCCATAAATCATAAAACCTTGGTCTTTATTCCTTAGGTAAAGAATTGTAGTAGTGTGCTAAAAATAAATGCATGATATACAATGATTACTTTTTTTCCAAGGTCGCCTCCTGATCTTTTTACTTGTTCTATCAATTCCTTGTTAGTCATCACCACATTTTTATCTGAAACAGAACATACAGTTTAGCTTTGTACAAGTAAACACAAGCAAGGGAGATTGAGTCTTGAGTCGTGGCAGTCTTTCCCAGATTTGCTCTATTTGTTCAGTTTATAGTTGTGTATCTTCAAAATTGTATGGCCTTCTTAGCAACACAACATTATGGACCCCTCTGGACCAAAGTATTGTTTTATTCTTTCCGTCGATTTTTAACACGTCAAAAATATATTGAACTCTTCAAGAAGACAACATGTAAATTACGTGTCGGGTAACAACCAATCGAATCGATGCATGACCACTGCAATATATATACAGGGTATATGTATACATGTCACATTTTCATCTATACATGTCACTTTTGCTGTGTTAAAGATATGACCGTACTTGGTGTAGATGGCCCACCATACAAGTTCAGTGCAACGAAGATTGGTTCCCAGAATCGAGGTCGATATTTTCTAATAATGAAAACGCCGAAATGTCGTTATTTTCTGATTTTTTTACCGATAATAAATTCAAAATAAACAGTTCAAATGATTCGAACCAATATCTCGATCATTTCTTGTGAGTTATAGAATTTTTCGTCAGGAAATAAGACCAAAATTCACGATTCAAATGTTGAAGTGAACAAAATGGCGGCTGTTGGAATTCGAATTTTGTAGCACGACATCCCCATATATGGGACAGAATATCGATGTTGCACTCTGGGAGCCAATCCTCCTTGAGTTCAATGCCTTCAAAGTGACGACCAAAATCATGTATCAACAAGTATGATTAAGAAGACTATACCTTGTTGTACGTATCCTGACATTCCGATGTTTCTAAACAAAACAACCAGGACCAATTATCTTAGAAATATGGATAAAGTTCATTCAAAATAAGACCAACCGCGAGGAAGTGATGGGTTTTTCTTAGTCAGTATATACTTTCTGAACAATGTCTCCAAATTTATTTCCAATCAAAATCAGATTTTCATAAATGAGGGTGGATTCCAGGGGAAAATTTTGGCAAAACCATGGTCGCCACTAAAGAGAGCATTACCGAGTACCAACTTCAAACTACAACTGAAGAAACAGAACGTAGTCTCTAGCTCAATGTTAAAGACACAAAAGAATCAAACATAAAAGTTATTTCAAAGATACTGACATTGGACAAATTGGTCTCGCCACTAGACAAAAAAATACTCAATATAAAATGTATTCCTACTCTAACAGAACTTGTTTGAACAACTATGAATGTCCAGAAAATGTTTTCAAGGCATGTTACAAGTAAGGTATGAGCATTGAATACCAACATACCTAGTTTCTAAACATCATCCGGAAATCATCTTCGAAGATCAGTTACTGCCTTTTGATGATGCACTCCATTACCACTGTCTAAGATCATGGTGGCTACATACCCCATTCTTCATGTTTCTAGTATTGTAGAATAAATATTCACTTGCAAGAAATGCAACTCCTCGTGTTATTGTATAATATTTCATTTTTTGCATTGCAATCAATTCATTTTTGAACAGCTGGTTGACATTCTACCAGTTCGTGACAGTGTTACGCTTTTCAGCTTTGATGCTGCTATTTTCGTACAGACTGTTCTGGATAGCAGAATAGAATTCGATGTAGCCAATGACGCAATTTATGAAATGTTCGTTATCGAATGTGCAAATACATTTTACAATATAAATATATATTTTTCAAATAGGTACGTTTGAATGGTTAAAATGTAGTAAGAGTCATCTATTTTGTAAATATGTAAATATTAATAACCCATTTACTCTTCTGCAATATTCTGTGTATTAATTGTTTTGCTCTCCAATTAAACCGAGGAAATAAAGAAACAACATATTGCGCAACCGGTAGAGTGCATACTGTGTTCAGTGTGTTGGGATATATGATGTAGTTTGCCCTTAATGATTGGATTTTTATTACTAGTTTTAATCGGCTTTATTGTGGTAATCGGCAAGACTTCTTCGATTCAACCTTCATTGACTGAAGATCACCTAGACACGGTTAGATGTACATTATGTCAAGGTGGAAACAGAGATGTCACAAAATACGCCCTTTTTCTTCAAACTTCATTGACTGAAGATCACCTAGACACGGTTAGATGTACATTATGTCAAGGTGAAAACAGAGATGTCACAAAATACGCCCTTTTTCTTCAAACTTCATTGACTGAAGATCACCTAGACACGGTTAGATGTACATTATGTCAAGGTGAAAACAGAGATGTCACAAAATACGCCCTTTTTCTTCAAACTTCATTGACTGAAGATCACCTAGACACGGTTAGATGTACATTATGTCAAGGTGAAAACAGAGATGTCACAAAATACGCCCTTTTTCTTTAACCTTCATTGACTGAAGATCACCTAGACACGGTTAGATGTACATTATGCCAAGGTGGAAACAGAGATGTCACAAAATACGCCCTTTTTCTTCAAACTTCATTGACTGAAGATCACCTAGTCACGGTTAGATGTACATTATGTCAAGGTGAAAACAGAGATGTCACAAAATACGCCCCTTTTCTTCAACCTTCATTGACTGAAGATCACCTAGACACGGTTAGATGTACATTATGTCAAGGTGGAAACAGAGGTGTCAAAAATACGCCCTTTTTCTTCAACCTTCATTGACTGAAGATCACCTAGACACGGTTAGATGTACATTATGTCAAGGTGGAAACAGAGGTGTCACAAAATACGCCCTTTTTCTTCAACCTTCATTGACTGAAGATCTCCTAGACACGGTTAGATGTACATTATGTCAAGGTGGAAACAGAGGTGTCACAAAATACGCCCTTTTTCTTCAACCTTCATTGACTGAAGATCTCCTAGACACGGTTAGATGTACATTATGTCAAGGTGAAAACAGAGGTGTCAAAAAATACGCCCTTTTTCTTCAACCTTCATTGACTGAAGATCACCTAGACACGGTTAGATGTACATTATGTCAAGGTGGAAACAGAGATGTCACAAAATACGCCCTTTTTCTTCAACCTTCATTGACTGAAGATCACCTAGACACTGTTACATGTAGATGTACATTATGTCAAGGTGGAAACAGAGATGTCACAAAACACGCCCTTTTGGAATGTTCAGGATTCATGATGGAACGAGATTGTTATTTTGATAGTATTACAAATGTATTAAATATGAGATCATCCTGTCTCTTATTAAATGGAGATGAAGAAGTTCTTCAAACGTGAAGAAATAATTATCTTAGTGGCAAAGTATACGTGAGGTAAGACAAAATCAAATAAAGGTAAATATTTTTGTTTTGTAAACAATTCTTTGTAAATAACTGTTTGTATAGTTAATGTTAAAAGCTCTTCTCGAAAGAAGGAAATTAAGATAAACAGTATTCACATGTAAATTCAAAACACCCTGTAAAATTCCTAATGTAAATGTGCATGCCATTCTTCGATATTCTAAAAATATATAAAATCTGAGGAAAGAAATAACCAATATTTCATTTCTTTGAAAAATCTGAGTTTCATATAAAGCTATAAATTCGGACACCATTCTGATGATTTACAATCCGGCTAGCTCCATTTAACAGAAGATACGTAAGCCAATATAACTCATATATGGAATTCACGGGATATCATCTGAAGATAAATTTAGTTATCTTATACATTAAGGATTTAAGCCTTGGACTCAGTGCAATGTGGAATGACCATTCCTTGAAGGTGTTGCTTTCCAAAATTTGCACGAGATGCGAAGCATCGGGTATTAATTCTTGGAAACAACGCCGGAAAGGAATGGTCATTACACAATGCATTGAGTCTTGGGCTAAAATTATTTTCACATATTGCAAAATATTTTCTACAAAATCATCTAAGAGATACGAAATCACTAGTATAAAAGAACATATTTTATAATGAAAGCTTTTGCAAGGGTCAAGCTAGCAAAGTATCAGTTTCAAGTTGTCGAGTCCAGTCATCACTTTGGCAACGGTTTAACTGATGATCTTGAGTTCGTTATTGGTTATAAAACGGAATGCAGTAACACCCCAGTCACATTTGTCGCACGGCGGCCGCAAGTCGACCGCAGAACAATTAAATCGGTGAATTTCTGCGGCGAGCGTAGAAAAACTACGCTCGCCTTGCGGCCTCCGTGCGGCGAATGCAGATTTTTACAGGCTTCAGGGAAGGCGTAGAAATTATAACTCGGAGTTATAATATTTGTTCATTTCTGAGGTCCCCGTAGAAATCAACTGGCTCAACAAGATTGAATCATTATTTGTCAATGTTTCACGATCTCTTTTCATTTGATATTACATCCTAGCACTATGAATAACATTTATAAATTGTCCTGATGTAAATAAAATGAAAAAAAGTATTATTTATCAACAGAAATTTAAAATTCACCGTGCGGCTGCCGTGGGAAATGTGACTGCAAAAGTATGAAAGCGCAGAAATTCTGCGGCGAGCGTAGAAAAGCAACTGGCCGCAGAAATGATAGACCGCACGGCGACCGCAGGAAATGTGACTGGGGTGTTACGTGCAAATAGCGAGTTCTGATTGGCTAAAATTGGATACGCCTTTCCTAGCTTTGTTTGAATCTTGAATATTACACGCAGTTAGAAATCATCAGATATTTTACCATAAAATATAAATATTTCAATCTTTAACTAAAATTTCAACACACAAGTGATAAACATACAGTACATATCATACACATTCTCTTTTATTACATATTCATTAGCTAAATTTTATACGATTATTTATCCAACGATTCCGGCATCCTTGCGAAGTTTTTCCAATAATTCGAGGTTGTTCACTGCAAAACTCTGGTCTGAAAAGGAAACAAAAAGACGATTAAGGATACTAGCGGTATAGGTAAAGTAATTCTTCCTGTATAAAAGGCTGTTTCCCCTTTCTGGCCCAGCTACTATATTTGGTACACGAACCGAGGTTCATTCTCGATAGGGTAAGTACTAATCTATCAGAAAACTTTGGTTACAAACAGAATTTTTAGAGATGGCGGGGAAATTTTCGAGACTATTTAGATCAGAATAATTTTCAGTGACAGGTAGCTTTTCTGTGGTACATTGTCAACTTACACAGAAACTCTACGACGGTATTCCTGAATGGTATTCCTCGATGTCACCGTAATACAATAATTCCGAGAGGACAAATCGTGAACTTCAATTGCACAGTTGTAAACTATAACTACGGTAAATGGTGACTAAGGACTAACTTGATAAGTGTTTGAAAAGAAAGTTCGATCAGTGGAACAATTTTTTTTGTGGAACAAAATTAGTTCTATTATGAATTTACATTATGGAATAGTACTCACGCAGACAGTAACCCTTTATATGTATGTACTCATTACAACATATAATATTCTTCTCTGGGCAGATAGGCACAGGCCCCAATCTGTATCCAATCATCTGGATATTTCTGAATTTGGACCTGGAAGCATTTATATAAAATTTATAAATGGCCAATACACTTGGATGTCACACATACCTGTCAAGTAAAAATCAAAATCTGGGTCTTTTTTTCTTAAAATCAGAAAAGTAAAATAGTTTTTGTGAAATTGGGAGAAAATTGGTATCCGCGGCTCAATGACAACGGAATCTGATTTTCAAATAATTAATAGAGACAACGGCACATGACAAGATGTGACAACGGACTAAAGTGGACCGTTGTCAAATGTTACCGTTGTCATCCCGATTTTACAGCACATCCACATGATTCTCGGAGAGAGAAATGTCTATCATCTTAACATGAAACCTATTAAAGTCGTTTTGCTTTTAAGTAATTGAGTTTCAAACAATCAATAAGTAATGTACATGTATAAAGATATGTATATTGAATAAACAACTGAACAATCAAGGTATTTTTAAAAATGTAAAATAAATGTATGTTGAACTTACACATATCCCTGCTCCATTTTATAACAACGCACACTGCCTTTTGGGCCACATCTTCTAGACTTTCTAAGGTTGGCTCTCTCAGCGAAGTATTCTCCTTTGTTGTAGTAGAACATTTGTACAGGTCGTGCTGGTTTAGGTATACAACACATATTCTTGCTGAAAAGCATTCGTATACAAATATGTATGCACACACAAGTGCCAATGGGAAAGGATCAAATATTATTACAGAAAACATCAAGAAAAAAACATCTAAGAGGACATCGAACGTCATAAGAAAGATAAACCACACATCCAAAGCATGTGGCCCTGACAAAATCACAAACAAGATGCTTCAAATGTGCTCAAAATCCTTATCAAAACCTTTGTCTAAACTATTTAACCAAATACAACTTGATCAAACATTTTCTACAATTTGGAAAACGGATAGGTATGCCCGATCTTTAAAAAATCTGATAAATCTGACCCCGCGAATTATAGGCCGATAACTCTCCTAAATACTCTTTCTCGAGAGAAAGTTCTCGAGAAAATTATATATAAGAATATGATATTTCAAATGACAAATAACCATTTACTCTACAACTTACAATCTGGATTTTTAAAGGGACACAGTATGCAAGATCAAATTTTTGCAATTACTGAATTTATCCATCAGCGGCTTGAAACAGGTAATAATGTTAAAGGGATCTTCCTAGATATAGCGGCTGCATTTGACACTGTTCCCCACAACTTACTTCTTTATAAACTTGAAAAGTATAACTTTGATCAACCTACTGTAAATCTCAACAAATCCTATCTCTCAAACAGAAATTTTTTTGTTAACGTCAATGGCAATTTATCCGAACCCTCTGAAGATCACTATCTAAATGCAGAGGTTCCTCAAGGTTCTTTATTAGGACCACTTCTTTTTCTCATTTACATCAATGATTTGCCAGACTTAGTTCAATCACTGTGTTGTATTTATGGGGATGATACATCCATTTTTCGCGAATTTGATCCGGCAAATCCAAATCACTCACTGGCTATTCTTAAAAATGAACTGAATCTGATTTCCAAGTGGTTTGATACCTGGAATTTATTTTTAAAGCCTCATAAAGTGCGGATTTAACATTTATTAAATCTAGGCAAAAAGCTCCCTACCTTGCACCCTTATTTCTTGGAAAGGATGAAATTCCAAAGGTTCGATCTCATAAGCATCTTGGTGTTATTTTTGACCACAAATTAACTTTTCATGACCATGCTAGACATGTGTCAAATAAGTATCAAAATATCGTCCCTCTACTATTAAAAGGTTCTATGTCCTCATGTACCATATTGAGAAGACGGAGGACAAACATTTAGGTTCCTCTATCTTTGTGATACAGTACAGTAGAATTTTTACAAGAATGCTCATGCATTATATTATAAAAATGGTGTATTGGAGAGAAAACTTTCATGTTTAGGCTGCATGACCGTGCAAAAAATGTCTGAAAATATTGATTGGTTTATCTTTGCTCTTGATATATCTTTTGAGACACCCTGTAAATGTAAGTAAAGTAGTGTACTTAGTTACTTTTTTCCAAGGCCGCCCCCTGATCTTCTTACTTGCTCTATCAATTCCTTGTTAGTCATCACCACATTTTTAGCTGAAACAAAACATTCCGTTCAGCTTTGGATGAGTAAACGAGAGCAAATGAGATTGGGCACTGGCAGATCCAGAAGCTAACAAGGGGGGGGGGGCACATTTCAAGTTACGAAAAAGCTTTCCGCGCCTAATTAATTTTTTTGAAAAACTAAGGCCCATTATTGTCTGATAATTCTGGATAATAAAAAGGACCCAAAAAGGCCAAGATATGCCTAAAAGACCTATTTTTAAGGCCCTACAAACAAATTTGGAGCCCGGGCCCCATGGTACCCCTGGATCCGCCAGTTTTGAGTCGTGGCAATCTTTCTCAGGTTTGCATTTCTGTTCGATTTATTGTGCAGATGGCCACCCACAAGTTCAGGGCTTTCAAAGTGACGACCAAATCATGTATCAAGTATGATCGAGAAGACTATATTCGAATTTATACCTTGTTGTATGTATCCTGACTAAACCTATGGCATGTAACACATTCGAATGTTTCTAAACTAAACAACCAGGACCAATTATCTCTAGGATCAAAATTATAATTATTTTAAATAAACATTAGGAATGGGTGAGTGTTTACTATACCTATGCAATTGCCATGTACTGCTTCGAACCCGTTACAACACGTAACCTGGTTAGGGGGACATGTTCTGTATTCAGTCCTGTACATTTTTTTCTGGCGGTACAATGTCAATCTCCTACAAGAAAACTATAGGGATGTTGATACATTCAGAAACACAAAAGGGGTCACGAAATTATACTGCTACGTGAAACCTGTAACCCTTATAAAATACAATGTTACAGAATGAAATTATTACAACTTTAACTTAATCTAAATCATAAAAAGTGCATCTATATGAGGAGCAAAATGTCTGCGTTCGTCCATCTCGTGATATATAGTTAAATGCACACCACACCTACAGTATATTTTGTATATCACATGCACGTATATTTTGCTATGTGTGAACATGTGCTTTCAAATACACTGGTGATCCACTGATTACGCTGATTACCGAAACGGTTCGTTTCGGTAACAAAATGTCGGAACATCGAAGGTACGATTTTTCTTTTTTCCTTATTTCACACGTTGTAGGCAGAATTCCCACGACATTTTTAGTATCAGCATCATATGTTTAAGAAAATGTATAAATTTGCGAACAAATAGTTCAGAAGACAACAGAATCGTCGATTAAATTGCTTGCTTAAGTTACATAAACGGTATTTCGAAAAAAAGTTAATATCTGCACTTTTAACCCAAGCCGTTTATGCAACTTAAGCGAGGAATCGAATCGACGATTATGTTGTCTTCTGATCTATTTTTCCGCAAACATATACATTTTCTAAAACATATGATACTGATATACGTTTGTAAGAAAAAACGTCGTGGGATTCTGCCTACAACGCGTGAAATAAGGAAAAAGAAAAATCGTACCTTCGACGTTCCGACATTTTGTTACCGAAACGGACCGTTTCGGTAATCAGCGTAATCAGTGGATCACCAGTGTATTTGAAAGCACATGTTCACACATAGCAAAATATACGTGCATGTGATATACAAAATGTACTGTAGGTGTGGTGTACATTTAACTATATATCACGAGATGAACGAACGGTATGATACTGATATACGTTTGTAAGAAAAAACGTCGTGGGATTCTGCCTACAACGCGTGAAATAAGGAAAAAAGAAAAATCGTACCTTCGACGTTCCTACATTTTGTTACTGAAACGAACCGTTTTGGTAACCAGCGTTATCGAGCGGGTCACCAGTGAATATTCACTTATTAAATCACGTGCAAATTTTAAATCGTCATTTTATAGGAAAGCGTAAAAAGAAAGAATATTTTGTTACGAATTAACGAAAAAGATTTCGTTGTACCTATTTAGCTGCTCTGATCTGTAACATCTCACTGATCCCTTTGGGCCACATCTTCTTGACACCCTGCCCATATAATATTGTTGCTGGTAATATGACTCAGATACATAATATGGGACTTGTCTGGGTGAAACATCCACTTTGCAGCATTTGTTTTCTTCCTCTAGAAATACACATACAATTTAAAATTCAAGTTTTGTCTGAAGTAACCTTTTTTGGTGAATGCCTAAAAACCCGAGTGGATTATTCTCACGTATTTTTTCATCAACTATTTAATTGTATCTTGATGACTTAAAGTTCGTATCTGATGACACTTTCTGTATTTAAAATACTATGCTATCAAGGACAAGGGTTCTAATTTCAATGATTTAAATACACGACTATTACCCTAATTTGAACTTGATTCAGATTACGGTAAGTAGAGGGTGACACACAAAATTGCCAATCACATAAAAGTTTTTTTGTCTGCAAAATATCAAATATGTGATAATCACATAAATACATAAATAGAAAACATGCTTTTTCATAAATTATTAGCTATATTGTTCTTAAGTATATTAAATTAGCCTTAATGGAGCTACTCCACGAGGAGTTTCAGATGAATAGCTCAACTAAATGCACTTTTATGAGCGTTACAAAATGTGCTCTTAATGTCCTCCATTTCTTTGCAGGCACACTTGGAGTCCACACAAAAAATGCCAACCACCTTTTGTGACATAACTTTGAATCTCCGATTATCTTTCTGATTATCGAATAGATTAGATCATATAACTATGCTTGAGGTCTGATGGAAGATCAAAAGCTGAGAAACGTTCAAAGTATTCGACTCGTTCGGCGGGCCAATGAAAATTTGTCCCTTCAAAAGCGCTGCATCATGGGAGATATTTATGTAAAATACCACCTGAACTCTTATCGCGTAGGAGTATTAAGTTAAAACTTGATGATATAGTCGTCATTAATAAAATCATATAAAACATTTTTACAAAATTATGTTTCAAATGGTGGGTGGCATATTTCGTGCAGACTTCAGGTGTGCCTGCAAAGGAAAAGACGACACATCTAGTAAGGCTCATAAAGGTGCATCTAGTTGAGTTAATCATCTGAAACTTCTTGTAGAGTTGCTCCATGGAGTCTAGTTTTAAATGCAAAGAACAAGTCAGAATTCACGCAGACAAACAGTTATGAAACATATGGGTGGGTGGCATTTTTTCTGTGTCACTCGGTATTACTAACGTGTACAATAGCCTTTTAAGTTGTAGTAGCCTGGACAGCATATTTTCCTGTTCTGAGGACATGGTCGGGGATCCATTCTATAGGACAACTTCTGTCTATATATGGGTTCATTTCTGTAAAATTCATTCCAAATAAAAGCTTTTCTTAAGATGAATAATACTTGTACATATCTATGATTCTATATTTGGAGAGAAGTCGGTTCTTCCATTCAACAGTACACATTTGGTAGGACATGTAAACGGGGCATAGTACACTATTAAGTAAAGATATTGAAGGTCAAATGATTTTCCTTAAGACAAAATGATCTCCTTGAAGATTTTATCGGCGTTTTTACACATTTAAGTTCTCTTTAGAGTTTTCCCTATCCTGTTTTAAGCAGCATTCGGACGTGTGTGTCGTTGCTTTCAACTTTTAGGCCACATTCTCGGGATGTAATTAAAAGATTTGTCCACCGTGGGGAGCATGGTATTTTCATAAAACACTTAAAAAACGTCACAAATTATTTTTCAATTCGTATGTTTCGTTATACAAAAGAAAATTACGTTTTTTAGGTTTTAGTGTTTCTATGAAGAGAAACGCTTAGAAAACTTTACAAATTATTTTTGAATTTATGTTTTGTTCTACCAAAGAAAGTTACATTTGCTTGTTTTCTTACAGAATTTTTATAGAAAATAGCATGCTCTCCCACGATGGACAATTCTTTCGATCACACCCCGTGACATTACGTAAATTGGGTTTTACCTATATTGAGTAGCCTTCCCTGAACATCTCACACTTCCTTTTGGTCCACATCTTCGATATTGCGTAACTTGTGCAGACACTTGTCTTTGTCCGGATACCTCGGTAGTGTAATATGACACTTTCTTTGGAGTATCGTCAATAGAACAACAGACGTGTTTTCTGAAATCAGAAAAATAGATAAATCTGGTGCAATGTTAATATATATTTGTTACAAGTTCATCTTACATCACGGCATGAATTAAGCCAACTTCGAATACTTGCTTAATTTACATTATTTAGCTTTAAAAAACATTGCATTAAATATAACATGACGCTCTCAAGAGAATATATGTTGGTTTTAACAGGACATACATAAGTGAACCAGTGTCTCTCGTAACAGAGTTTTGACACGAATACTTCCGCGTAAGCTCTCTACCTTAAGTATTATCTATTCAATTTGAAATAAAAAATAAAATAATTGTTTATTACGATGCTGGATTGAGTGGGTCGAAATAGCTTGCTACGTCATCTCCGCTGGCCTGGAATAAAATTAAAACGAATGATGAAATGAATAAATTCAAACTGAAACATTGCACATTTGAGCATGACGAATAAAATCTTGGTTATTTGTTACGCGCAAATTTTCGATAATTGTTATTTTCAAATATAGTCTAATTCTGTTATTCTACAAAAGCTTGTTAATATCAACGAAATTTAGTGTGTGCTACTGTATTTTAATGTTTACACAACTGGTCATCATGACACTAGATATAAACTGGAAATATTGCTTATTAATTCTTAAAAAACAGCTTTAACGATGCTTTTTGAGACAAAAATCTAAGTTTTCTAATACAAACTCGGACAATATAATTCGGCGCCGTTTCGGCATCGTAAATATTCGGCGCTGTTCCGGCACCATTCCGGCGCCGTTTCGGCACCGTTCCGGTGTGAAAGAAATTATGGTCCCTCAGGGATTATGGTCCCCTTTCTTAACGGCCCATACTGGCCCTGCCTGTGTATAAATAATAAGGAAAGTGATTGTAATTAGGTCACCATATAAATCAATAGAGAGTAGGACCAACATTTGATAGGACCAGCTACCCTTTTACACCGGCACAGAAACCTTTGGACAACAAAATTTGGCACCAGACTAGACAGTCCATTTGGTGCCCAAACGACACAGAAAACGGCGTCGAAAATCAGATTACATTTTGGGTGTGATATGTTGTCCGAGTAATGTATCATGTGCTCCAATAATTTCCAACTTGTTAATAAAGTATGTTTGTAACCAGCTCTAGAAAGGAATTTGCTTGATATTTCATCCCGGGTATTTCATTCTCAGAAAAGGAACACGTTTTATGATGTCCATATGATTTGTATCCTCCAACACATGCTCGACACATTCAATTTACTAAGAAACTATATATAATTGAGAATTTATATAACAATCATTTAAATACTACATTAGATTAATTTCATTTCTCAAAATGATCATTTGAAATCCTATTGGTGCATAGCTGAAATCTGGGGGGATACAAAATATTGGACAGCAAAACCTAAATTCACCACAAAAAATATTTCGTCTGATTTTTTGTTGTCTGTCATTTAAAAGGTGACCTCTAAGAGCACTTCCTGGCGAAGCTTTCATCAACAAATTATCCATCAACAACATATCATCAACGTTGATTTAAGCAGTTTGTTGGAGGATACAAACCATATGAACATAATTAAATGTATTCTGTTTTATGGGTATGGAATATCAAACAATCCCCCTTTGAGAACTGGTTGCAAATATGCTTAATTAACAAGTTGGAAATTATCCAAGCACATGATGCATTATTTTTATGTTGTCTGAGTTTATATTTTGCTGTTTAATAAAATGAATTAATAAGCAATATTTTGAGTATACATTGCATGGTCATGATAGCCAGTTGTTGCCATTAAAATAGCACATATTAAATGTCGTTGATATTTACACACATGGCGCAGACAGGTAGAATAATAGAATTTGACTAAATTTCAATCATCGTAAAACCCTTATACTGTACATGTGCCATTCTTAGCTTATCGTACTTAATCAAAATACTTTAGTAGACGTTATATTTCACATTAGAAATTAACTCCATTACCTCAGTATACTGCCAGGAGACAACGACTGCTAGGACCAAGAACAAACCATTCATGTTGTTGAATAGTTTGTAAGTAAACTCAGCAATTGTTACAGTATATAGACCATCTTTGGTATCTTATATTAATCTAATCATCAGATAATATAATATCATTAGTCGTATGATGAGAAAGTAAACAACTGTGGAAATAACATGAATTCTCCCGAACGAGTGAACTTGATGTTCAGATTGCAGAGGTGAGGCCTTGAGCAAGAAATAAACGAGGCAAAATCAATGCAAGGCGAGGCAATAGAGGAGTTTCTAAATAGCTTTGAAATCTCGCTAATTCTCGTTTTTACATGTGATAATAAGAGATTTGCACTTTTTTCCTCTAATGAATTACTTTTCTTTATTTTTGATAGCATATTTGGATTCAGTGTCAATTTTTCTCTAATTATAGCTTTGAATTAAACAGTTATGTCATTTAAATCATTTTCCATGACATTTAAAAAAAAACAAATCTCCATTGGTGCAATGCTGAAATTCATGAAAACCTTGGTTTATTCGTATGACAACCAATATTTTCATGGTTAATCACAATACGTACATTGACAGTGTCATCCAATAGTATGCCATTCAAGTTTCAGACAGATTCAACCAACACTCTTTGATAAATTATGAAATTAAGTGATTGTTGCAAGTTTCTAGCATTGGAGTGGGTGGAGGTCTGGCCCTAGAAAATCAGACAAACAAGGGTGACATCTATTATGTCACCACTTTTCAGCTTTTTAGAAACTATACTATTGTTGAACTAAAGGCAAAGCAATATACTGTTGTGATACTTTTGATTTTTCATATAAATTGATACATCTTTTTCATATATTTTCTTTCATTTTCACTCATAATGATAAGAAGATGAGGTCACCTGTTATGTCTAGTGATGTTGATCGGAAGATTATGTCGTCGCATCATACTAAGATTGATCGTTTTATAGGTCAACGAAAAAGATAGATCATGTTAGGAAGACGAAGATTCTACACTATAGAATTGTGAGATTCTGACTACAATCAAATGAATTCAGACATTTAGAGCCATTTCGTCTATATGGCTTCAACGCTTTCTCATCCTCGGGTAAAATAGTGTCATCATGTTACACATTTATACGTAAGCACGCACAGACGCACGTATGAACGCACACACATATTGTGGAATTTTCAGGAAATAAGAGTAACGCTCTAATGTAGGCAATATGTAAAAATGCAAAAATGACATGATCTTTAAAAGTGAATTTTTATTCAATCATGAAAAATTCTCCTTTAAATATTGTACATTTATAACACAATATAGTACATATTGCACAAAATTCACATTTATCATTATACTGTAAATCTGGTACCACTAAGTAGAATTTTAATAGCATTGACTGAATATGTGGTAATACTTAATATTGCACATTTCTTGAAAGCTATTGTTAAAATATTCATTGGATGCCTCCATAATTTTCTACATAATTCAAGATCATTTAATCTTGAATTAGATAAAACACCCTGGTCTATAAGTGTATTTTTGCTTGTTAGATAAGTTATAAATAGAAGCAGTTTATATTATGCAACCAAATATACAATGGATCTAAATCATGATTCATCAGAATAGATAAGTTCTAAATTGTTATCCATTTTAATTCCAAAACATTTTAGCATTTCATTCAGTCTTTGGCATTTCTCTTTTATGTTAATATCTTTTCAAAATTCATGAAACTACCCTGCTACGAACAATCACTTTTCTCACACAAGATATACTGTTAAATACTGAAATATGCAAAGATTATGGAACATTTAATGATGGTGTCAACATTGGGTTCCATTAGCAATATTCTTATCCTTCATATAACTTTGCAAAAATAATTTGAGCGAACCACTTCCATAAAAAATGGAAAATCACTGAATAAATATCGGTACTGGACATTTTTAACATCATAATATACAAGCACTGCAACAGTACAATAGTGACTTATACATGTATGAACTGGCACAATATAAAATTGGCTATGGATTTCTACATTGATTCCCCTACAGATGACCAGCTAACTACCCTCTCATAATAACAGATTATTTATCATTTTGATAAAGTTAATACAGGTCTTGACAATCCCGAATTTAATTTCCATGGCATTCTCTAGTATTGCACGCCTAAAAATGGACTGGAATAGGGTGGATCAATGTATCGCTTGATACACCGTATCTATGAATCACATTTGCTCAACGGCCGCCGTAGCTTCACAAAATCGATTTATAAAATCAACATCGTACTGCTTATCCCCATATTCTATTCTGCATTTTTCTCTCGATCATGGGAAGATACGGCCGACGTACAGTTGCCGTAGATCAAGTGTAACTGAGGCATTATAGATTTATAGTGAGGAAAAATGTTGCAACTGACCTCCAGTGTTATAATGATCCAAGTAACACAATTCATCAACACAAGGATGACATCTAACCATCCTATCCCTAATTGAATGCCCATAATTCAGCATGATAATTATATTCGAAGGAAAGTTATATTTTCTGAGAACACCTACAGTAGAATTAGTTGGGAATAAGTTCCATAGTGGAAATTAGACATGAAAATCTCATATTTTTAACCTTTGTTGCTTCAGCTATTACCCTTTGCATTCGTTTGACTTCACTTCTTAAAAGAGAGCTTCGTCTCTTGCAGTTTTACCAGACTGCACGCAGGGTATTCAGCTATTGAAATTCATGATGATATTCTGCACTACGAGCATTTAACTGAGATTGAAAGTGAAATTAGTTCAACGTTAAGTCAAATAAATCTATCAGTAGAAGTTGAGGTTTTGTGATGGAAACTTGAATCTGGAAAGCAATTCTAAAATCTTAAGTAGATCTGTTAAGTAGCACTCTTCTAAGAAATTTAAAAAGTGACGTCCCTCTTTCTATTAAATCCCATATTTTCTCCCGAAATTACAATAATTGCAAATCATTGAGAGTTTTACCATTGACTGATCTTAAACAGAAGCAGAGTGCAATGGCGAATCTTCACTGTCCAATGTTCCTGGTTGTTCTTTCCGAGATTCCAATTTTTCTCCTTCATTTATAAATGATGAGCTATTCATTCCTATGGCAGAACCATCACTAAGGTGTCCAGCACTTCCACTAACATTAGCACTTAAATCAAAAGTAGTATCACTTGGATCATTAAGCCCATCATCTCCAATGAATGTTTCATCATTTTGAAGAGCTGGATCATTAATACTTGGGTCCCTAGTGGAACTGACATCCCCAATAGGGTTGACATCTCCCATGGAGCTGACATCCCCTGACATGGTCTCCTGCTCTTGGTCTTCCATTTGGTCCATGCAATGCTGAAGACCAGCGCAGTAATGTAGCATCAATAAAGCCAATGCTTGGATACGCTCATCACACTTCGCTATCTTTATTCTTATTTGTGACCTCTGTTTAGATGTCTTCCCAGCCTCTCTTTCACTGCGCGCCAGTTCTGCACGCACTTCTGATTCTCTGTCAATCTCTCGTTGAAGTTTTGTGATCTGAAGCGATGAAACAAATCCTTGATTATGTTTCGTACAAAAAAATTATAAAATGTCTAAGAATGAAAACAAATCTGTGTGTTAGTATATAATGGACAAAATATTAATCATACTTTAGCATGAAGGTTTCAACCTTGCTAGAATATACAGGAAATAGCAACGTATAAGGTCAATCAATAAATACTTTTGAAACATAACACTGAGTACCCACTACCCATACCAAGATATCACTTCTCCATTTTATTTTAATCCATGATACATGTATCTGTCGATCAATCAAAATCTATATAACACAACGATGAATTGATATACCATATTGTCCAGCTTTTCTCTTCTTTCCTCTGGGTGCAAGTTCATATAGAGCTCTCTCCCCATCTCTTTGGCATAGGACATCGCTCGTTCTTCTGATGATTTCAACTTGTGGGATTCCAGAAATTTGAGGTTCATCAAATTCATCTCGTCATCCGAGTCAGTGTCTGCCTCACTTGCACTCTGGGAAAATGTCAATTTTTTATCAATAGAATTTATTTTGACATAACACTTGTAGGGGCTTTACTTTTACATGTACTGTATATATGTAGCTTTATTTTCCCTAATACATAAAGATACATGTACATGAATACAGGGTCTTAATTGGACTCAATCATCTACTATTTTCCCTTATGATAGCATAGTCCTGAGGAGAATCCCTCCTATTTTCCCCAGAATTCTTAGAAGAGAATTACAAGCCGGGCCATAAAACATGACCTTTTGAGTTTGACAGTTTGATAATGATATTGATGCAATACCAATGTGAGATGAAAAAAACCCAAATGAATTCATATTTTAGAAATATATATATTTCTACCTTATTTTGCTGGTTGTCCGAATCCTGTGTGATCTTATCTATTGATGTTGACGATCTAGTGCGAGCCAGATTACTGTCATTCAATGCTATCAGGCCCTCTAATCTTTCACCCGATAACTCTTTCTCCAGTTTAACCTCTGGGGCAGAATTGTTACGCTTTCGACCGGAACTACTTTCAGAACTACTTGTTGAACTTTTACGCTCTTTAAGTTTCGAGACAGATGATTGGTTATTGTCTCTATGTGGAGAATCGCGACGTCGAAGCTTGTTGAACAGCTTTACTGGTTGGATCGTTTTGGAAATGTTTTGTGACTTTGTAGATTCATTGTCAGGCTCATCGGTTGAAATCGTTGGCTTGAAACCTGCCTTGTATGAAAAACCATCCCTACAATTAAGTTGTAATAAACATATAAAAATAAAACCATATTAAACGTAGCTTCTTCATATTTATTTTATTTGGTGTAAAGTTATTACCTCAAGTATGAAATCAAAGGCATATTTGTGAGTGTAACAGTGGTGCAACATTTAGATAAAATAGGCTAGAAGATAAAAAGTAAAATGGTTTCTACATGTACAGTATGTATGAGTGGTAATATGCTTAATTGTTTCTTTTCTATTGACATTTGTTTTCTTTTGTTTTTACCCTAATTGCACGTGTACTTATAAAATATCACAATACAAGAGAGAGTTGAGTTCTAATCTAAGACTTACTTGCTACAAAGAGTCTGTGCTTGACATTTTTCCCGACATTTTTTGTGACAAATCATCTGACAAGTTTTACACTGGAATGCTGCTTTTAACCATATCTATGAAAAATGAAAAAAATGAATAATAAGATAATCCATTGGTTTTGTTATACAATACGTTACAGTATAGTTAATAGTATTGTATTTTGGGAATAGTTGACATATTTTCAAAATTTCAAAATAATTAATACAAAATAATGAACTGAATGTTCAAATTGAACTTGATGTTATGCCTGGGTCACATTTGCTACGATAATCGGCAATCACCCAGCCGATTGAGTATTTTGTTCAAAATTGTATACAGTTTTGACCAGAATACTCAATCGGCTGGGCCCCGGCCGATGAATCGAGCAAATGTGACCCAGGCATTAATCAGGTGCAATACAAATTATATCCAGCACCTTAGTCTGAAAAATATTTTCACCCCATTTTGTATATACATATATTCCATGACAACTATTCCAATGAAATCAAATCTCTGAAACCATGTCAATAGTAAATATGAGGGTATTTGTTTTTACCTTTTTACTGCAGAAATTAGTCAATAGTGAATATGAGTGCATTTGTTTTTACCTTTTTACTGCAGAAATTGCACTGGGTTGTGGATTGAAAGTTTGTGCTTATAAACACGTGCCTGTCTTCTTCCTCGGATTCACCCCTATAATGTAGATACAATAAAGGATGAATTATAAATTGAAGTCAATTGCAATTACAGTGTAGTTAGAAGCAATTACAGTGCAGTTAAAAACATAAGAGAATTTATCTCATATTGAATAGGAAAAATTATTCTGTGATCATTTCTAAATTGTACTTTTCACAGACTTTGTGAAGTATTGTTTGTCTTATTTAAATTTCTTTTCAACTTAAAATGTTTTTGTTTTAATACAATCACTTTTATTTGTTAAATTGTTAAATGTTAAAATAGATCTTATAGTTTTGCAAAATACACTTTATTAATTCACAAAAACTGCATTTCCTTCAAGAATTTTCATTTAAATTGGAAAAAATCATACTGTTTAAGAAGATCTGGCTCTGTATCCAACGACACAAGACCAGATTCCGCATCATCCGGTTGCAGCTGAGGTGTCATCTTTTGTAACTGCTTCCTGTCATCCAAAGAGAGGCCAGATGGAACATGGCGGAAGTAAAGTGTGATGTCACCATGACATAAGGAACTGTCAAATCCACGATGTACTGCCAGGGGATGAATTTTCCCACGACTAAGGAAAACAGAAACATTTTAAAATAAAATGACATAGTGTCAGTAAAACCATTTATATTGAGCACCTATGGAGCAACAGAAAGTGTTCACTGTATGTGAATTGGTGCAGTACTGTGGAGAAAATGCTATATTCAATCATATGGTATGGTACTTTAGGTACGTCTTGAAAAAACTCTTTTTCTCTTAATAAAAATAGCTCCATCTGAATTCATTTTGATTTACAACGATACAGTTAGAAACACTGCAAAAAGCTTTGAAAAAGGTATTTAGCAAGGTGAAATTCTGATCTTTTCTCTTTTTTTATTATCAATTCAGTTATAATCAATATTACCTTGCTCCTGCCTTGATGTCTGGTGGTGAAAGTTTGTATGTTAACTGGCAATCCCCCTGTAAGGTAGCTGCACACTCCAGAGCTATATCAGCTACACTTACACTCACCTACAGGTAAATAACAGTGAATGTTTTCCATCTCATGACACCAAAAAGGTAAAAAGACATAATAGAGAGTTTAAGCTCACATAAAAATCGAAACTTCAACCTATACGTATGACCAATCGCCCATACAAATGCATCGCTTACTTACGCTTGCGTTTAGGTTGTGAAAAATGGTGCTAGCTTAAACTCTCTAATAGGCTATCAAATATCCATGTGAATCCTCAGTTTAGAGAATACTGATACCTCACATTGAAATACACATGAATGAACAACATTCATACTCAGATGTTATCATTTGAAGTGTTTAAACTTAACAAATACTAAAAAAAACACCTTTTATTTCACTTTATTCAAAACTTGCAAAACTTGATTCTTACATGTCCAAGGAGAATATCCTTCTCTGGCTTGATGACACGGTCATGCTTGTCTAGCTTCTCTGGTACTTTACACCATACACAGATATTACAGAACTTGTCATCAGCTTCAATCTGAAGATCAAACTTCTGATCCCACACTGGACACTGTAATCAACATGAATTATTTTCAATGTATGGAGAAATAAATATAGTAAAACCCATCTAAGTAGAACGTCTTCACAACATGAACGCTTTTGGTGCCTCTCTAAAGTGTTCCACTTGGGAGGTGTTCCACTTAGAGAAGTTCATTTAACATTAAGTCAGTTGGTCTGGGGACTCTGAAGTGTTCCACTAACAGAGGTGTTCCACTTTACAGGCTTCACTGTTTATACAAACGGTTTGTATTCTAAAAAGTTTAAAATCCACAAAATATAATTCCAGGAAAATAACAAGTCCTTGTGATCTATAATTTAATATATCTGACTAGAGTCTATTATTCACTCCATTACCATATTTATATCATATATTTGCCAATATAACATAGTTTGCAAACTTACTACAATTGATGGGACCATTCTAGTTTTAAGTAGGTTGAAACGGGAATATGACTGCTCTTCTATCTGTCGCGCATCCCCACCAGCACTGTCAACTATCATAGCCTCATTTTCAAACTCTGTGGAAGAGCTGTCATCATTTTCCTGGAACAAGAAACAAAAGTAAAAAAATATTAATAAATAATTTCAGATGATTGAAAGTGCTTGATCTACACACATATGCAATCATGGAACAGAATGGATGAGTCAATTAAACCTTAAGCGTTGTCATTGCCATTACCTTAATTTCTAACTGTCCATGGCTTTGCCCTGTGACGAATCAGATCCTCTTTATTATCAACCTCTATTTTAATACATGTACCTTTTTTATATCAAGCCTTGTGTCACTTTTAGCACGAGGTCGTGCCCCAAGGCCAGACTTAAGACTTTCAGAGCCCTCTGGTGGTATGTGAGATTTCAACACAGGACTTCCTTGGGGGGACCCCCTGGAATCTTGATCTGTGGTGGTCCTAGATCGCTTACGTTGGAAAAGTTGTGGCTTACTTGGGAGGAATGGGAACTTCTTAGTTGATGTTTGATCCCCTGTTGGAGCTGTTGTGGTTGCTACAGCTGCTACAGCTGTGGATTCATCATCTGTGAATAATATTTACATAGCTTTCTTCATTCCCGTGTTAACAATAACATCAATTAAATTTTAACATATTTCTGTGCAGCAGCGTAAATGAAATAAATGAAAATATCGGAAAATTTCATCATCTCAACATTTTATCACCTCACCATGTGGGCAAAAAATCTAATTTCAAGATTTATGTCTCCAACCTCATGCATCCTTTAATGAATCTGATTAGAACCATTAAAGTGCTAATTCGGTAATTTCTGTTTATTTTTTTCTCACTGCTATGGATTAAACAGATATTGGTAAGTAAAAATAGTATTCCAACAGACTCTTAACTCATTCTGTTTGTTCATTAGTGGCAAAATAAGATTTCCCGGGAAAAAACATGACGTCACGAACAGAACCGGTTATGGATTTTAATCGGCAATGCGTTATGCAACTCAATGTAAATTCAAAAGTCTTCATGTTATACTGTGTTCTGATTGGCCAGAAAGGAGTAACGCTTACCGAAATCACCTCATGGTTCAATGCCTTTTGGTTACAAGATTTTAGACACCTTGAGTTATGTAATACTATCAATTGAGCATGTTTATTTTCTATATTGTGTTCTGACTGGCCAGAAAGTTATTCTGCATGACTAGCTATGTGAAAACGTACCGCTGGGTCGGAGGCTCTAATTTAGGTATTATTTTTTTGTTTATCGGAGGAAAAAACGTGGCTCCAAAGTAGTCATCTCAGAATCAATTCCTCACTTCATTGAATGCAGTTGCAATCAATTACACTTATACTTTATAAGCACGTTCGGGGATTATGAGCTCCAACAACATATTCAAAACCCGTTCTGTTCGTGATGTCATGATTGACATTTAAAATTGTGTTCCCGATTTTGAACATCAAATCTCACATTTATAAAAATGTTTACAAGAACAGTTACTGGTTCGACATGTTAGTGGTATTTACTTCATTTAGAACGTGTATAAACTGTATTTTGACCCCATGAGCATCGAACAGACACTTTAAAACCTCTTATCTTGCTATGAGAAACACTGGACTGTATAAACATTTAAAGAAATCGTCATAATTAAAACTGACATTTCTTAGCTGTTCTAAAGCTGCTTCACTCCACCAAATATATCATATAAAAGTACACAGTAAAAAATGCTGGTTACCCTGTACATGTTTCATGTTGATGTTGATATATTCTTCATCATCCCCATATTCTGGTCCACCATCAAAGTTGTCCTAAAATTGATAAAATTAAATACAAATCAAAATAAGTATCAACAAATATGTTGATATGTTGACGTCATCGAGCGGATAAGTTTGAGATATCAAATCAGAATTGCAGTTTAGAACATTATGTCTTCATAAGTAGCTGGCTTTTACTTCACATTCAAAGTCCCATGAAAAGCAATTAATATCAGGTACTTTTTTGGTTAGTAATCATCAGCATTTATACAGTATCATTGTCTATGTAACGACCCTTGGTCATGTCCGTCGGAGAGCTAGTGTAACATGCCAGATATTAGGCCCGAAAGGGAGTGTGCTAAATTCAATGCCAAGTGTGGGGTTTGAACCCAGGACCTTCCACTCGCAAGGTAGATGCTCTACCAATTCAGCCACTACAGCCACTACAGCCGAGACTGTAGTAGTGACTTGCTATCGAAGGTCATTACATCTATATTAGTCAGGCAGGGACACTATTTCTGTTTATCACATCTCAAACTACATGTATCATGATTGAGTGATAGGTCAGATGACGTCACATGACCATTCCATAATTCGGACTATCAAATATCAACCTCTTGGAATAATATCAGCCTCATGTGATATTTTTTTGTTGGGTGGGGTGATATTCTGATATAAAACACTCTTAGACATGTAATAATGCTTTAATATTACCTTGTAACTAACTGAGTCCTCCAAGCCTCGCATCTCTACATTTGGAGCACTGGAATTATTTGGAATGTTGGATATTCTGGAACATCTCTCAATCCTCACACTTAATCTAAAATCAATTTTGCGACATGTCTCATTGATACATAAATATTACCATGTAACTGTACTGTAATTGTTTTTTGCAATTGCTTTGACATGCTTATTCTTTGAAATAAAAAAAATTATAAAAAAAAAAAAAAAAAAAAATATATACTGTAAAAGCCCAAATTTTCAAGGTGCCCTAATTTTCACTTTTTTCGCTGAAGAGGCTAAACCGTGCAATTAAAGGCAAAGTGAAAATTTGATTTAACATTGAATTTAATTGGATATTTCTTCAGACAGTGGTATTTAATGACCATAAAATATTTCAGATTGACGAAATGGTGAAATTTTTTGTCAGCGAAAATTTGGGCTTTTACAGTATTCAGCAAAACCTGTGTACACTGAACACCTACGGAGCCACAAAAATGTGTTCACTACAGAGATGTGATTTTATACAAAATTCAGTAGAGTACAGAGTATGGGCTGAGAAAATTTATGATTACGGTAACCCGTGTTTTGGTCATGCGGGGCAATTTTTGACTTGAAAAAAGTTTAATTTCAATTGAATTCTTGTGATTTATTAATTGCACATTAGGTATACTGTATAAAACATTGTCCACTCTTTTTCATCATTCAATGTTCTGCCTTCTTATGATTATGAGATACTTCAACACAAAAATGCAGATTCCTCCAAAACTAGGCAGAAGTAAAAGACCAATTACAAACCAAACTATGACAGTACTTCTAAATATGTTGGACGAAGAGACAGATGCTGGTGCATTACATATAGATGGATGGCTGGATGAGTGGCCAATTCCATAGACTATCCAAATAATACACAAACCAATTGATATTGTACCAAATGATATATTTGAAAAGAATATGAGTGATATGAGAAATTATTACTTTACACTACAGAGTATTTGTTGGGTTTTATCACCATGTGAAGACAGGAAGTAAAAAGAACCCAATTAGAAATCTGTAAGGATTCAGGTCAGGATTCCATCTGTATGAGTCATCATCTTCATGAATTCTCAATCTTGAGTACTCAATCTTATTGAATCTGATAAATCATGCAACTTACTTGTCTCCAGCTTGTTTAATTGACTTTGCTGCTTGCTTCAGTGAGCTTATTCTTGTGCCATTGACTGCAATAAGTACATCACTCTTTCTTATGTCGGCCATGTAGGCGGGAGAATTGGGGTGAACTGTTTCTACGACAACCATTTCCTCATATCGGTCTAGCACGAATTCCTGTACAGATTATAAATGTTTTCTTTTTCTTAGCTCACACAACAGTTTTAACTGAATTCACGTCAGTGATGTTTTCTTGAAATTCAAAATACTGTTCCATTATTTGTTGTATTGGCACTTTCTCATGTTTAACACTGAATGTAATCGACTTATGTAGAGAGGGGTGTTGAGAGTACAAGTACTATATATCTAATATATTATATACCCCTGTATAATATGTATATTATACTATTCTTTCCCAGTTTTCATACTACACTTCCAAGGAGACGACTTTATTTACAAGATGAGAGGTTTAGCACTTGGCAGTTAAAAACTGATAACTTGCAAACGCCTTGATTTTAAAAATGATATTTGAAATTAAACAGATTTTAATAAACTCACATCTTTAAAGATGATTCCAATGGACGGAGACTGAGCACGAACAATTTCTATATCATGTGTCACCCACAACTTCCTTTTAGATGACATCATTTCAATCCAGGGTAGTTTATCTGAAATGAAAAGTAGCCCATAGCACTAATTAGCTTTATCACAAAATTACATAAATATCTTATCTGTACTCTATTTTTCTATGACTATACACTCGCCCCATGGTAACACACTTAGGAGGTGTTCCATGTAGAGTTCTACTAACAGAGGAACATATTAAATTCATTGTTCATGTGACTTGTTCAAAGGGCAAGTTATTCCATTTACAGGAGCTCTAGCTCAGTTCACTGAAATTGCAATTATTTGTTTGAGGAAGAAAATAAAATCAACATTTCACCTACCTACTGCAAGAGTGCAATACATTTTAGAATCTGGTATAATTTGTTGTAGTCGGCTACACTCAGTTATGGTAACATCTAATTGGCCAAGGCTAATACTGTTCCCATGCAGGTTGATCTCTCGCACTGTCAGATTAGGCTCTTGGGGTAGGAAGAAAGGTTTGTAGCGGATTTTGTAGTTTGGTAGGGTGTGCTTTTTTCGTACTGTTCTTCTTATCTGTAAATATACATTTGATTTCATGGTTTCTTAAAAACAGATCATTGCTGTATTATAAGGAGTTTAAAACCATATATCTATTGATTGTTACAAAATTTGCTATTTTCCTGAAAAAACTTCAATAAAATATAAACCCATTTCCCCATAATTTCCAAGGATTATATGAACATTATATAATTGCTCATTAAGTGATACTTAGCACAATACAATTAAAGGTACCTATACTGTACCTGGTTAACTATAAGTGAGGTGATCTGGGGGAGAGGTCTGCCTTCAAACTGTGACTCCACATCTAACTCCAATAAAGGCTCCTATAAGCATCAATTAAAGTGAATGGATGGTAATATAAAGGAAAACCAGTAATTCAACATTTTATGAACCAGAACAACGGCAACGCCAAAACGGGCACCTTCTACCAAAATGTCATTAGACAGTGTGCCATGCTTATAATATTCACATACCAAATATGAACAAAATCGCTCCACTACTTTTCGAGTTATAGTAAAAAACGTTAAAATGGCATCCATTTTGAAAAATGGCCGCCTTCTACCAAAAGTGTCATTAGACAGTGTGCCATGCTGATACGTATTCACGTACCAAATATGAACAAAATCGCTCCACTACTTTTCGAATTATAGTAAAATAAGTTAAAATGGCAGCCATTTTTCAAAATGGCCGCCTTCTACCAAAAGTGTCATTAGACAGTGTGCCATGCTTACACTATTCACATACCGAATATGAACAAAATCGCTCCACTACTTTTCGAGTTATAGTAAAATACGTTAAAATGGCGGCCATTTTGAAAAATGACCGCCCTCTACCAAAAGTGTCATTAGACAGTGTGCCATGCTTATACGTATTCACATACCAAATATGAACAAAATCGCTCCACTACTTTTCGAGTTTTAGTAAAATAAGTTAAAATGGCGGCCATTTTTCAAAATGTCCGCCATTTTTCAAAATGGCCGCCTTGTACCAAAAGTGTCATTAGACAGTGTGCCATGCCTATAGTATTCACATTCCAAATATGAACAAAATCGCTCCACTACTTTTCGAGTTACAGCAAAAATCGTAAAATAACGAGTAAAGGCCGCCATTTTTCAAGATGGCTGCCATGTGCTTTTTTAATATCTACATTTCTAGCTTTATTAATGTCCTATATAATTTTTCTACATTTAAAACATATTGCTATTACAGTTTTACATATTGCACCTAAATTACTGTAAAATCGGCACTAAAATGGCCGCCATTTTTAAATGAGCGGCCATTTTGAAAATCGGCTTTCGAGCAGAACTTCTACCTCCATAGGGTATATTTGTACAAAATATGAATAAAATCGGGCCAACGGTATTTGAGTTATTGCCCGGACGGACGGACGGACGTACGTACGGACGGACGTACGGACGTACGTACGTACGGACGGACGGACGTACGTACGGACGGACGGAGGCGTTCCCTATATCCCTCCGAACGATGGGATAATTATTACAATGAATTACCAGAGTATTAACCATGAATTTCATGGTTTTCCATGAGTTCCATGGAAAATATTTTATTTTTTCATGGAGGATTACAAATATGCAAATGTAGGCAACCTTGATATATTCAGAACCAAAGTTCAAAATGGTCCATTTTTCAACTTTTTGGAAAAACTAATTCCTTCAATTATCTTTGTTATCTTAAACTTAAAAATCAATCACATGTATGTATATATAATGCCACTTATATATGTACATTACGCTTGTAGAAAGAGATTATCCTAAATGAGGTTCGGGATATAAGGATTATTCCATAGCTAAGACAATATATCTACCTGGTAAAATGAGAATGACCAGTGAGAAAACGGCTGCCTAGTAAACTGTAATCTCGCTGTTCCTTGTAACTTTTTAACTTTTACGGAAAGAAAGGCAGTTTTTCCAAATACAAGGTCAACATCAACACCAATCTGGAATCCCCCGTCATAGTCGATTTCAACCTCAATGTTGACTTCCTGAAATAATACATGTATAAACTAAAGTTGTCTGCTTAAGTCATCACAGATTCACAGTACATGATCAGATGCACAATCTCAAGAACAGCATAGTCATAAACAAAACATTGATAGGTTTGCAGGAATTACACAAAATAAAATGTTTTATGTATATTTCTGCTTGAATTGTCACAGTACAGTAAAGACTGACTGGTTTGACATAGTATCACTAATTCAAACAAGGCATCAACATGCAAAATGTCACCACCATTTGCTACAGGCGCCATCCACCAATCACCAACCAGCGTCAAATAAAACAGAGACCATAACAATATGTCACCACTTTTTGGTGGTGACATAAAAACACTATAGCCACAAATAAAACATTGTTTTGTGTGAATTACATTCTCACTACCTCATTCTCCTACCTCAAGTGTCTTGTAGTTATCATTGCTATGACATGGTTTTATGGTCCCTCCTTTGATAATAGGGAAAGCATCTCCCAGTGAAAAGTCCCTCACCTGAAAGTGAAGTTTCTCATGTACAATAGATTCTTGTATACAATTTATAAGAGCTGTGTATTGTGTACAACAAAAAATTTATAAGTGAAAATTGAAGGAGATTAATTACGCTGACGATCTTCATGAATATTGTCACATTGGCAATGTGAGGGACTAAATATGTGAATTGCGTCTTCGTTAATATACCAAACATAGAACCATCTGCATATTCTCAAACTAGACTATCTTCCTTAACTTTGAGCCAAATTATTGTCCACAACTTGACTTATAAGTGGTGCAAAATCGAGAAATAAAAATATTTTACCAAAAATGAAGCCTGGAAGTTCTTCCATCTTGTTACACTGACGAAACGTGTCGTCAGCGTAACTAGGTGAGTACCAGTGCATGTACAATAAATATTCTTGTATACAATTTTTAAGATCTGTGTATTGTGTACAACAAAAATTCACAAGTGAAAATTGAACAAGCTTGTGTACAATGTTAGGACTTGTGTATGATAAAAGTGCTCAACAAATACAAGTTAAGTCCACTTGTATGTTTGTTTCAAAAATTAAATGGCATAAAAAATAAAAATTATTACGCTGTCCCCATAAAATTGAAAAGTACCAAATGTACAAAGTGTATGTTAATTGAAAAGTTCATAAACTCACTCTTAATTGCTACATATTCAATAACTCACAATAATGATATTACTCAAGAATGTTGTCTACTCATAAATATGTTATTTACTCACGCTAATATTGTCGAGTAGTTTGCCTGTAGTGGTCTGTGTTAGAAGCTCAGCAAACTCTATGTTCAACTTTTCAGTCACCCACCTTAAACCACAAAAAATAATTCATTAAAATCATGGGAGTATGTAGAAGTTCTAGAAAATCATGGTATATTGTTCATGATTTCAACTCACTCAGCCTATCACACATTGCAAGAATTCGCAAATGTGAAACACTTTTGAACAATACCCCCTAAATCTAGTCTCCATTGTTCTATTTATATTAAGAGGAGTAAGTTACATCCTATTGCGTCAAAGAGAAATTGAAATTGAAAAGACAATAAGGTTTTAGGCTACATGTATATTCACTGTACCTTCTTGTTTTATTAGTATCCTTCAATTCCTGGAAAAGGAACTGTATGAGTAGATTAAGGGCCAAGCATGTCTCTGTTCCAACCTCAGATGTAGAGCTCTTCAAAATATCCTGCAGTTCCTGTTGATATAGATATATCAATAATTGTACACGTGACTTATTTATGGGTCTGAAAATTTTTTCCCCACATTGATTTTTGATGATTTTTTAAAAAAATAATTAAAAATGATGATAAGTCTGAAATTTAAAATTTTCGAAAAAAAAGAATGTCTGATACTATCTTAATGATTAGCATACTGTACCTTTGGTAAAGAGAAGCCGGCTGACTGTGGTTTAAAAGGTGGCTTGGTCACTGGAATGTGTAGAAAGAATGTCCGCAGTAGATAGGCTTGCACCATTAAAGTTAGGATCACCCCACAAAGGACTGCACCCAATATCACAATAAGCATTTTGAACTAATTAAGATACTGCGCTAATGAATGGCTTTCCATCAGAGTACTTTATTCAAGGCATTTCAAACTTCACTGCATCTTAGCCTTACTTCATCTCGAGGCTTTGCACCAGACGGTAGCTGCAACAATAATCGCAAATACCTGACAAGTATAAATGTCTAAATAATACTAAGATCTCAAACTAAAGTACCTGATAAGTACTCCGATTCTTTCCAAAGGATGTGCCTCAAAATGTGTACACTTTATGAATACAAAGGGGATGTATTTAATACAAAGGGCATGTATACAAAATTTCCACTTTGACTGTAACTTGTAAGCTTTGAGTACACCATAAATGTGGAGTTGATAATCAGAAGTAGTAGTCAAAATGCAAAATTTTTGACTACTTTTATTAAGAAAAATAAGACTTAGCCAAAAAACCTTCCAGAAGAAGTTCAGGTAAACATTCATGAATGTCAACCATTGAGCATATGCACAATATCCAGGGCTTGCGCTAGCTATGTTTTTTACGTATCCTACACTATTGCTATTTTGAATTACAATTCCAGCTATTAATGTCAAACATTAACGACATATTGGAACTGTTTTAAAAAATAGCAGATCCCACAAAGTACAGTGTTCCTTTTAATTCTAATTGATGACATATTATCATTACCATTTTAAAAATATTATTACATTTATAACACTCTGGATTTTATTTTTACACCTTTTCACAGTGGCCCAGATATAATCACTTCTAGTAATGGCTAGAGACTCGAGTTTAACATTCTACATTTCCTTCAAATTTGTTTACATGTTGATCTGGTTTTCATGTACACGTTTATTTCTGTCACAATTACAAGATTTACATATGTACATGGATAGTGGGAAGTTCTCCATCTATTAAAGATTATAACAGGGGTGGGGGGGGGAAGATTTCCCAAATATGACCTTTGGTATTGGCACGATCAATAACCAATTTAATAAACAGGCCTCATTTGCCATTGAAATGGATGTTACAATGTTTGCTGTTGTTTTGTGAGTATCCTCTACAAGTTTGGATTAAGTAACTAGTATTACCGTTGTTTGAAATGATGATGTTGAATTGATGTTAAACTGAAATAAACGCTATTTCCAAGATTTCAAATTTTGCTTTGTGCATGCATGCACTCATGATTGTTCACATGATCACATCATGCAATTTGCTTGGACATCATATACTGATGGGCGCAACTTAATTATAAAAGCTAGCCTACTCACTTCTTCTGAGATTATTGAATAATCATTATGATTATAATGTTTATAATAGAGAACCTCCAACTATCCGTGGATACATACGTAAATCATCTTACTTGCTGGAATTACACCATGCGTCTTAGAAAGGCACGTAAGGTTTTAACTTGGTTTGAAAAATACATGTAGGTGTAACCACGATTTCGGATTTACAAAAGTGGTTTTCCAAAACTCCTAGAACTTTAGTCGCTAAAAATGCCTTAAATTGTTAGGCGCGTTTGGAGTTTTGTGTAATACTGATCGGTTTTTGTAAAACACCTTACTTGTTTTTTACCATTTGCCCTAAACGAAATGAGACGTATTTCAAATGCTACACATTAGGGCCACCGCAAAAATACAGGAAATGATGGATGGGATCCCAAAAATGCCAAAAATAGGTCATCCAATTATATTGCAAAAATTGAAAGTTAGTTCACATCACTGGCAAAAGTCTCGGTTACGTTTTAGATGCTAAAAGAATGCTTTTTATTGTAGATGTAAACATCTGCTGGATATTATCCATATCTACATCATTAATGTGCACGAAAGGCGTTATGACATGGTGTAATTTCAAAATAAAATACCTGAGGGGGCTTTAGAAATGTTGGTGTATACAGTTGGGGACAAAAATAAATGACAGGTCGATTTTCGATCACCATTTCCTAATTATGGTGGTCTGAAAGCCCATAATTTCCAATATTGTCTAGATACATATCCCTTAAAATTTGTATATTTTACATTTTGTATAATCGCATCCACTGATTTATGGCCTCTTGTAAATTCTCTTATTTTTAATATGGGAAATCCTCACTTCAGCAAATCCACCTGTCATTTATTTATGTCCCCAACTGTAGGGCTCACCATAAATAAATGACACCTGGATTTTATATCACCATTTCCTAGACCATGGTGATTTGAGACTTCATACTTTCCAATAATGTCTAGATACACATCCCTTAAGTTTTTTATATTTTACATTTTGTATACTCTCATCCACAGATGTATAGCCTCTTGAAAATTCTCTTCTTTTTAACATGGGAAATCCTCACTTCAACAAATCCAGGATCTGTCGATTTTGTAAAGCGCTTTTAGCGTTTTTCAGGTGTAATTCTAGCAACTAAGACTCTTAGTCTTCAATGCATACGGAGAAGACAATGACTGATGTTTGTTGATAAGAAATAAAAATGGCGATATCACCGAAAATGAACAAAATAATGCAAAATTAAAAACACTCACCTTTTCTAAATTTTTGCTCTCCTGTTTGGAGATTCCTGAGTTGCGTCATTTACACGAACGATCAAAATATTCCAATAATGGAGTCATGTTCGGTTTTATATTCCCGTATTATCAGACAGTTTCGGACGATTTACGAACGTATGATTATACCAAAGGATTCTTTCAGTAAGTGCTTTCAGCATGGGCTTTCAAGAGAAGGGTATGCTACTCTATGTTATAAACATGAGAACTTCAATGAGCAGCACTTCAAGAGAACATTGGTACCACTTTTTCTTATACTGGTCTTTTAGTGTTTATTCACTACTATGAGGAGTCAGGATGGAATATTAGGGAATTTGGGTTGGGTCTTTAACTTCCCAAAACTTAAGTGAATTCAGTCCTATTTGCTCGACCACAAAGGGGGAGGGGGTGACACCTTCTGATTGCAGAGTTCGTTATGGTAATTCAGTTGGAGGGCACATTGCCTTAACCCATCAGCTTTATGACGTGCACTTCCGCGTGGGACTATATCTTTACAACGGGAATTTTAAGTTTTTGTCATTGTAGACATAAAAAGTTGCGGCCCTCTTACTCGCGCAGTTTTTAATATTTCCATTTGAAACTTGCAGGAACGGTGCTTTGAATCTAGCTCTCTAGTCTTTGAAAACGTCATGTAGAATCAAAACAGTTGAACTATTTATTTTTTGTCGCGAAAATATTATTTTTTTAGTTTATTTTTATTTTACAACCTTTTGTGAAAAAATGTAACAAATTTTTATTTCTTGTCATATTTATCCGATATTTTGTCATCATGAAATTCGAGATTCCTTTTAATGATGGTGCAAATTTCATAACAATTGATGAATTTTTATTATCAGTGTTATGTTTTCCAAAAACGGTGTACCACTGTGCATGTTTCTTTAATTGACGGCACATTTGCCTTTAATTGGGCGAACGTACAGGTCCCGACGCAATAAGCTTTTTTTGATTTAATTTGAAAAATAAAGTTTGCTATCAAATCAGAATGTTCATAAAACATAAACCTTGCCTTTGTTTTCCCAATTCTAAAAGCAGGCCAAATAAACTATGATAATCGTTTGACTCTCGAGACTACAGAACTTGAACTTGAACATGCTAAAATCGAAGTTACCTATAGTTACGCTTGTAAAGTTAATTATATGTTTAACGGCGTGCTGAGCGAATGTATCTAATCAAATTTGTGACATACCCATAAGATCGTAGATCACAATTCTAAGTTTAATATGTAATTTGGATTCGTAAGAAGTATTTCTGTTTTAAACTTACCTTTGCTGTCTGAAAAAGATCAATATTCATAGACGGGGATGTTGAAACCTACATTTCCTTTGAATGACCTGCATTTGTACTACGAAATGATCATGTGGAGAAAAGTTGATGAATTCCAAACAGCTTGTTCTTGCAAATCTACTAGTATAAGCTTACTTTCTAAAAGTATTTCAATGTTAAAAATATCTATTGATATGTTTAATTTTTAAAATGATCTTTTGCTTCCCTTAACTTATATGTGTGACTTAATGAAGAATGCTGTTTACACATCAAACTTAAGACGTAAACTTGGCAATTACTCGATACATTTTATAACGCGCTTTTCTTTCATTTTCTACAAAAATGGTATGTTCTCGAACGGTCACTTATGTTAATCTATGACCATGGTATGATTGAAAATGAAAGAACTGAACCAAGTATTGTCGACTCGGTTGAATCATAAGTTTCTTTTGATTGATTTAATATCTTCTTGAATTTTAAAACCTTTGTCCGAATTACATCTGCTATGGAATTAAAGTTCAAATATACCTCAGAATTGCTTATTGAATTAACCTAGCAATTAATTTGAAAATAATTCTTTACATAGGTTATATATCATAGATCATAGATATGTAAAAAATAAAAATGTGTTTTGAAAGATGAATTGGTAACAAACGTTTTCGTACACGTGCAATTCTTCACCTTCAGCCCACTTAAAGCACGAAATCCCGTATGACGTAATATAACGAAAATGCGCAGATAATTGATATTTTTTTAATTTGAATTCAACTCACATTGGCCTTTCTTATTTAGAACGTGTTTAAAGTTCTCATGTTAAGAAAATAAATATGTGGAAAGGCAATGGTTTAAAGCTTATGAAAATGTCAAAATCATAATTCAGTTTTTAAAATAAGATATTGACATGCATTCACGCACATGTGACATTATCTCTTTTCGTTCGATTCAAACATAAAAATCTCATTACAGTTATACATATGAACCATTCTTAGCCATGCCTTTCTAATAGAATGGACTAAATTTAAATCAAAAAATAATTCTGTGTTAAGATGATTCCCCATAGATATAATAAATGTCAAAAATGTCAAAAAAATTATCAAAAATTAAATACTCACACGCTTTTAAGCACACATGACCTTTTCCAGTTTTGCTCATTTAATTTACCTTGAAAACCAAGGAGACCGAACGCAATTGCTATATACAACCTTGATACGTGTACCAGGTCTATAATTGCATTTTCTCATGGAAGGAACCAAGCAAAAATTATAAAAATAATTCTGCGTAGAGGTGATGCTTCACAAATAATATTAATGTCAAAAAATTAATTCATTTCTTCAAAATTAAATAATGACACGCATTTACGCACACATGACCTTTTCCAGTTTTGCTTATTTCATTTACCTTGAAAACCAAAGAGACTGGACGCAATTGCCAAATACTTCTTTGATACGCGTGCCAGGTCTATAATTGCATTTTCTCATGGAAGGAATCAAGCAAAAATTATAAAAATAATTCTATGTTAAGGTGATGCTTCACAAATAATATTAATGTCAAAACTTTAATTCATTTCTTCAAATCCAAATACTGACACGCTTTTACGCACACGTGACCTTTTCTCCTTTTGCTCATTTTATCTATCCTAAAAATCAGTGAGCCTTAATACATTGTCCGATACTTCTTTAATACATGTCGGGTCTAAAATTGCAGTTTATCATGAAAGAAATCGAACAATTATTATAAAAATAATTATGTGTAAAGGTGATGTTCTTCAGATCATATAAACATCAAAATTGTAATTCATTTATTGAAGTTTAATATCCACATGCTTTACCGCACACATAACCCTTTCCCTTTTTTGTTCATTTTATCTATCTTAAAAATCAGTGAGCCTGAACTCATTGCTAAATAATTTTTGATATGAGTCAGCTGCAGGTCTAAAATTGCATTTTATCATGGAACAAAACTAGCAATCATTATAAAAATAATTCTGTGTAAAGGTGATGTTCCAAAGACAATATATATGTCAATTTGATAATTCAGTTACTCAAAATGAATTATCCACATGCTTTTACGCACACATGATAATTTTCTGAATGACGCTACTTTTTGGATTCAACCATGCATATAACGTCATGAAATACACATTTCTACCGAAATTATGCCCAACCGTTTTCGCAGAAAATGTAACAAATGAAGGCATTTTATCGGAACTGATTGATATTTGGTACTTATAAAATATCGTATTTACTTTAACTTTTAAGCGATTCAGACATTTAAAAAAACGATGTTTAATCAATGTTAATTTCGCACGAATATAGGGTACAAAATGAGTGAAAGTCTCACGTGTTTGATTGCATTTTACTCCCATTTATGTGCATTTTTCTAACATTAAAATGAAATAGTTCGAAAGAAGAGATCAGTAGAATTCTATCCGTCACTTTCATTTTCAAATGTTTAAATGTTTACCATTTCAATGGACCTCATAAAGATGGTAGCCAACGGACCAGAAACAAGTAGTGCGATGACGTCATATATCGCTACACCACTTTGATATAAAGTTTGGTAAACAACAATGGGTTTTTTCAATGTGCCGTCTTCCTAAGACGAGCTGGCCGGCTGGTTGTACCGTAACGAACTCACGTACACGTACTATGGACGTATTACGACCTGTGCAGTGAAGGGGCTCGAAACCACCGAATCCCCAGGGCCCTGAATTAGACTATACCCTCTAGTCTGAATTTTTTTGAAATTTGGAATTAAAATATTCAGACTATAGCCCACATATAAAATTTGGGATTGAAAATTATTTGTTTACATAGGAAGTGCCATTCAAAATGGCAGATTGGGTAAATTAATTTGCATATTTGTTTCTTCTCCTAGCTTCATTCCCATTTGAAAATATGCTGTGTTACTTCTTATAGCATTTAATTGTACCTTAATACTAATTGAATTGTTATAATGCGTATTTTTGGGAAATGAAGTTTCCGGCTAAAATTGATGATTGTGTGCAGGAAATTTCATGTCTTTTCCCACAGGAGGGACAAAATGATCGATAGACTGAATTCTCAGGAAATTCAGTCTATTGGATATAGACTAGGCCCTGAATACGTAGATGCGGAGATTAGGGACGCGAAGTTTACCTTTCTTGAAAGAAGAGGATGGATAATTGACATTTTGGGACGTATTGAGAACAAGGTTATATAGGTAGACTACTGTAAACAGTGCCAATGGCTGATTAAGGACGTAATTGAACTGCTCAGATAGCCTACGTTGTGTAGACGCGATGAACGCGCAACTACTAATTGCCAATGGGTTGGCTGATTGAGGACGTAATTGAATTGCTAATGGGTTGACTGATTAAGGACGTAATTGAATTGCCAATGGATTGACTGATTAAGGACGTAATTGAATTGCCAATGGGTTGACTGATTAAGGACGTAATTGAATTGCCAATGGGTTGACTGATTAAGGACGTAATTGAATTGCCAATGGATTGACTGATTAAGGACGTAATTGAATTGCCAATGGGTTGAGTGATTAAGGACGTAATTGAATTGCCAATGGGTTGACTGATTAAGGACGTAATTGAACTGCCAATGGGTTGACTGATTAAGGACGTAATTGAATTGCCAATGGGTTGACTGATTAAGGACGTAATTGAATTGCCAATGGGTTGACTGATTAAGGACGTAATTGAATTGCCAATGGGTTGAGTGATTAAGGACGTAATTGA